GTGTTCTATGTCAACAAGCAAGGAGGGGCCCACTCCAAGGTCCTTTGTCAGGAAGCCCTCTGGCTATGGAACTTCTGCGTGAAACATTCCATCGACATAGAGACCACGCACCTGCTGGGGGAACGGAATGTGCTAGCAGATTGCCTCATCAGGTTCTTTTCTCACCACAAGGGGGTCTCTCCACTGAAAGGTAATCAGTGCCATCTTCCATGGGAGGGGGACTACCTAGGTGGATCTGTTGGCCACTGCAGAGAACAAGAAATGTCGCCTCTTTTGCGCGAGACTTGACCAGTGCAAGGGCGCTCTATCAGATGCCTTCCTCCATCCATGGTTGGACAGCCTGCTGTACACTTTTCTGCCAATTCACAGGGTTCTCCTGAAAATAAAAGCGGACAACGCAAAGGTCATCCTGATTGCTCCCGCGTGGCCTCACCATCATTGGTTCAGCATGCTCCCAGACCTAGCAGTCACAGCTCCGTGGACTCTTCCCCTCAGACCAGACTTGATCTCGCAGGATCAAGGGAGGCTCATCCATCTGAACCCCGCAGGCATATATCTGACAGCATGGCTGTTGTGTAGTTGAATCCGGAGGAGAGGGTGTGCTCTGAGCATGTGCAGTAGGTCTTGCTAGTTAGTAGAAAACCCTCTACCAGGGCAACTTACCTGGCCAAATGGAAACACTTCTCGTGATGTACAGTCAAGCGAAGCCTTTCTCTGACACAGGCATCGTTGCAGTCCGTCCTGGAGCTCCTCCTCCATCTAAAGCTCCAAGGCCTATCACTGTCCTTTAGAAAGGTCCACTTGGCAGCAATTTCAGCATTCCATCCCCCAAAGCATGGCAGGTCAGTCTTCGCACAGGAAATGACAGGCAGATTCATCAAAGGGCTGGAAAGACTCTTTCCGCAGATTTGTGACCCATCCCAACTTTGGACTTGAGCCTCGTTCTGTTTAGTCTCTCTGGGCCACCTTTCAAGCCTTTGACATCATGGCTGTTCTGCTACTCTTCTGGAGATTGCTTTCCTGGTGGCGGTCACTTCAGCAAGAAGGGTTCTGAGCTTCAGGCTTTAACCTCTGAACCTCCTTATACCACCTTCTTCAAGGACGAGGTCAGGCTGTGTCCCCACCCAGCTTTTTTGCCCAAGGTGGTGTCGCAGTTTCAACCAGGTTATCTTTCTACCAGTCATCTGCCCAAAACCGCGCAAGTCAGAAGAGGAATGACGTCTGCATTCTCTGGATGTAAGAAGGGCCCTAGCCTTTTATATTAACAGGACAAGACCCTTTCACAAATCAACACAGCTTTCTGTTGTGATAGCGGACAGGATGAAGGGCCTTCTAGTGTCTGCTCAAAGGATCTCTTCCTGGATCACGGACTATATGCAAGCCTGCTAAGAGCATCTACAGAGCCGCGAGTTGGTTGTCGGTGCATACATTTGAATTGCACTACGCCATCATCCCACAGGCCAGAGATGATGCCAGCTTCAGCAGAGCTGTGTTGCAAGCTGCATGTCCATGAACTCCAAGCCCACCTCTAGGGATACAGCTTGTAAGTCACTTAACGTGGAATCAACATGAGCAAGCACTTGAGGAAGAAAAAACAGTTACCTACCTTTTGTAACTGTTCTTCGAGATGTGTTGCTCATGTCCATTCCATGACCTGCCCTCTGTCCCCGCCGTCAGAGTTGATGGCAAGCAGGAACTGAGAAGGTGCAGGGCCGGCGGCACCTCATATACCGGAGCATGAGCGTGGCACTCCAGAGAGTGCCTGAACTGGCTCTACGGATACCACTAGGGGGGAAATCTTCAGCCGCGGTGCACACGACACATGCATACCTAACATGGAATGGACATGAGCAACACATCTTGAAGAACAACAGTTACAAAAGGTAGGTAACTGTTTTTTCCTGAGGCTCACAATGTGCAGGAGCTGCTACCACTACAGGACACTCTCCTTTGGTGGTGTGAGATCACCAAGATGATTTACTAAGATACTATTGGTAGTGGCAGCTCACTTCCAATGCCAATGCCACGGGTCGTAAGTTTTCCCCTACCTCAATAAATGGCTGTTGATGAGGAAATTTTACCAGGAGGCTTTGGCATCAACTGTGTCCCTGACGAACCTTCTACAATCACAGGGATTATGCATAAATACAGAGAAGTCCATTTTGATTCCAATCCAGCCTATAGAATTTGTAGGGGGGGACTGTGGACTCTATCAGGGCCAAGGGAGATTCTAGTGCATACCCAGGACGGGCAGAATCAACCATCCCAGTCCAGCATCCCTCCACGTGACAACCTGGTTTTTTTTGGATGGACATCAAACCTAGAAAATACGTGCTTGGAAGCACTTTAAAGACAATAGTAGAAAAGGATCTACTAGGAAATATTTTCACTTGGCTGTGTAACTTTATTCAATCTGTTCACAATCGTCAGTTCCTGAGGACTCTGACATCCCTATTATTTTGGAGTGTTTTTTATTCTTTAAGACCTTGGGTCTCTCAATTAGCTCATCTCAGGTTCACTTGGCAGCTATAAGCCCCTGTCATCCTCTGACTACTCCTGTTTTTACCTTCCTGTGACAGTACCTTTTTTGAAAGGCCTGGTTAGAACTTTTACACCTGTGAGAAGGCCCATTCTGACATGGGATTTCAGTTTGGTCCTCTCAGCACTCACAAGACCTCCATTGGGACTGTTGTCTTCATGCTCCTTATCCCACTTATCCATGAAAGTCACCATTCTAGTGGCCATCACCTCAGCTAGAAGGGTGGATTAACAGGGAGCTCACCATATATGCAGTCTTTCACACGGATAAAATGGCTCTGAGGCTACATCCTAAGTTTTCTCATGTGAAGTGATCTTGGATTTCTGTGTGAATCAGTCAGTCAACCTACCTAACCTCATGCCGTTAGTGAAGACAGAAGGGTTCACTCCTTGGGCATACATTTAGCCGTGCCGTTCTACCTACAAAGAACAAAACTATTTAAAAACTCATCTAGACGATTTGTATCATTCTCAGAATGGATGAGACGGGAAGCAATCCCCTCCCACAGGCTTTATAAGTGGATGTCGAGGTACATTCTACTGTTATGAGTTGACAAACGCTCCTCTGCTGCAACATGTGAAAGCTCGCTCTGCTAAAGGCCAGGCCGCCTCAGTAGCTTTGCTGCAAGTTGTTCCTATTGTCAGTTGCATTCGCTTGAAGAAGAAAGCGAAGTTACTTACCTTGTACATTAGCTGGAGTTCTTCAAAATTTGTGGTCGCTATATATATATTCCAATACCTCTTCCCATCTGCTTTGGATCTTAGATTCAGTTCATTGTAGAGAAGGAACTGGAGTGGCACACGAGGAGAAGAAGGGTGCAGGCATAGAGTAACGGACATTGCTAGCAAAAAGTCTTCTGGTCTCAGGTGCATGGAGCGCATGTGCACCCACAGTTGAATACAGACCACACATCTTGAAGAACTCAGTTATGGTACATGGTAAGTAACTGCTCCTTATGTGGCTGACCTCATTGGGGTGTTTTGGAAGTTCTAAGTCTCTTTCTCACTCTCCCTCCGCCCTTCCTCCCATTTTGACACAGTAGCTAGTGATCATTCCCACTGACTAACCTTTTGTAATAGTTTAAAATGAATATTTATTAAATATAGTAATGCAGGGGTTCCAAAATTTTGGTTCCTAGCCACTGGTGGTGGTTTTCAGGAAGCTGACTGGCCAACATGGCCTGATTCTTGATCCACACGTTTCATTCACGTTCATAGGAGCTCTAGATTTTTTGCACCTATGAAAATCAGGGCAATGGTGGTTTCTCCTTTTCCTTTCCTTAATTCCAGCTGAGAAACAGAATAAATAGGGGTAAATGAAATAAAGTATCATTCTACAACAGTTTTAGTCTGAGATTCGTCCATAACTGTGTTTTCACTTTACTCCGATTCACTCCCCATTCTTCGCTTCCCCTCCCCATATAGGAGGAAATATTAACCTCTTCACAACATATAGTTCATTATGGAGCACTGTTTCTGTAGCTATGTTCTGTAACAAATTACCCTTTAATCCCCTCTTTCAAATGAAATATTTTAGTTACTATAGGAAATAAACAGGAAAAGGTGAAATTATAAAAATGAACATGACAAAGTTAGTGGTATATGGTAGCCCTGTTTTAAAACTGGTTTAATAAACAGGAGTGATGCTGTGTTCATTATATAAATATTAATGTTTATGCAGTGAGCATCTCAGGTTTTCAAGTATTAACAGTGAATTTTCAAGAATTCTATGCTGTTTAGGGTTGCACATATAGTAGAAATTTCCATAACCGTTATCAATTAGTAACCCTGCACCAGTGTGTTAGTAAAGGCACGACAAAGGTGTTTTTACCAGGATTCTTTAAGGGTTTATTTCCACGTGATGGGTTCCTATGTAATTGTTCCTAATAACTCCATGTGTGGACGCTCTTATTACGGAACAAGAGTGCCTTGTTTGTGTTTAGCAGAATGGAGTAGGGCACTCTTGTTTCAGAGTAAGAGTGCACACTCATGGAGTTATTCAGGAACAGCTATTACACTTCAAATTTACACCCTACCTTTGTCTGTGTTTACTTACAAGTTTAGACAAGCTAAAACCATACTTAACGCAGCTAGCATGCTCTAACATTTCCTTTATTATAAGAACCATTGAAGCGCTGCCCATTATCAGAAATGGGTAAGAATTTCAAGTTTTCCTTATGTTTTAGATGGCTGAAGCTGACTTTCAAATATCCATTGACTGAAATAAATGCAAAGAGACTCAATGATGAGCACACCACAGAAGAACAAAAGAATAAAGTCTGCCAGCTTAGATTTTTGTGACGTAACACCTTCCATTTTAGGACATCAGACCTTGAAGATTAGTAGTGTAGAATTGTTTCCTGTCTGTGTTCTGTGCACGTTTGAATTGTGATACCTTGCAGCCTAACTCTTTTGCTTAATCATTTACATGCTTATCTCTTGTTTTTGTTTTTGTTTTTTAGTTGCCCAGAAGATTGTGGCAACAAGGAAGAAACAGCAGCTTTCAATAGGCCCCTGCAAATCTTTACCAAACTCTCCAAGTCACTCGTCTGTGTGTTCTGCCCAGGTTTCTGCTGTACATATCAGCCAGGTACCGAATGAAATGTTTCATTTGAAAAGAAAATGATGGAATGTTAGAGTGCATTTAGAGCCATTACTTTTTTTGCTGCTTTGTCAGCAGTTAGATTTTTCTAAAAGCTTACTGTGATCTCTAGTATAAAACAGTGTGTTCATAATTGGCTCGACTTTGCTTTAAGTAACTGCTGTGACAAAACATTTTTATTGGGAATTGGCTTTAAAACAATCCTTGGTCATGCTGGTTATGTTCTGCAGCCTGCTGGTATGAGTGGAGGGATTGTTATAGTCACAAGATTTGCTGTTCTGCTTTTTTAATTAGCTTACAGTGGTTTGGTCATTGCCCTGGTTTAATCATACACTGAACAGTAGTTGGTACATCTCAACAGTTAACACACTTCAGTCTCAAATTTGGCACCACCATTCAATTTTATTACCCATCTCTCCTGTGCTCAATTGAAACCATACACCTTTAGTGACATTACTGTGAATGTTTGCTGAATTATTTACATTGCAGTAAATTGTTTGACAGCCAGCAAGTACTAGGTAAAAAATTAAACTGCTGCCTTCTATGCTGAAATGCATTACTAATTTGCAATCAATATTATAATGTATACAAACTTGATACGTGCATTACATTTAACGCTCGTAACAATCCCATACTTCGTATGCTAGTGAATCTTTCCCCAGTATCTAAATTTAATTTCCTGAAAAGTGTACATTATAATCTTACTTGTACTAACTGTATTTGATATTTTGAAAGATCTTAAAATAGATTGTGAACGTAGTGCAACATTGTCTTGCAATATTTATTTTTGTAATATCTTGTTTGGTGCCATTTTGAATGAAAATTCCATTCTGTTGAAATATTTAGGAACATTAGGAGTAGGCAAGTTTAATTGTTTCCTTGCTTTTGTCAGCTTAACACAACACTATTCAACGTCAATACAGATATGAAAGGCAAGAGAAAAATAAACTAAAAATTAAGAGATATTTAAGAACAGTATCCTAATATGCATAATGTTTCTGCAGTATTTACTGCTTCTTTGTAACGTTGGGCTTTTTCCTTTTTTTCTAATCATTTTGAAAGGCGGAGAATAAATACTTCTCAAAAAGTGTATGGTTCATTGGATTCCCACTCATGTCCATCCACCTAATGTGAGATTATGCGAGAGCTGCCATTGGACTCATACTTTGAACCTTTCGAGGCCCCACAGTTGTGCGCCTCTCTCATTTTCTCTTCCCTTCCCTTCCCCCCAACCAGTCAGGTATCCATGTTGCTGGTCACTTCCTCTTTTGCTGCTATTAGCAGTGTCAGATGCTGTCCTAGCTCAGGGATGGCATTCAGTTCATAAAATGTTTTTGGCCACTGTAGCAGTTGATAGAGCCTTTCGTTAATCTCCATTAATAAAATGCTCTGACTAAATATTTTTCATTTTTGTTGGACACATCAGCTGTCTTTTTGCCAGGATATTTTCAGACTGTCTGGGTTTTTGTGGAGCTTCATATGTATGCTGCTCTCCTTTCCCCCAGTACCCGCAGCTGGAGGAAGAAATGGTAAAGCAACTCCCTGATAAGAGGGAGAAGCCCTGCCACACCCCAAAGGTTGTCGGCGAGATATAGAGAGAGGAGCAGGCACCTGGACTTTATTGAGGGAAGATTGAACTTGAGTTAATTTGTTTATCTAGAAAATGTCTAGGACTGGGCTTGGTAAGTGTCTGACTCAAATTCCATTGTCAAATACATTTGCAGTGCCCTTAAATTGTCTTTTGGGCTGGTTACTGAAGGTCTGGTAGCATCCTCGTTGCAGCCTGGTTCTTGCAGAGGCAGTGGAGAAAAACCCATTTTCCTTGAGGATACTCTGGATGTGTGGTAGTCACTGGCTGTGGCTGAAACTGGCTGGACTTTTGTGGTGTGGTGTTTTCAGGCTGTAAACTGTGACCAGTGGGATGCCCAAGTTGGCAAAGGCAACATTTTGCTTATAAACTACAAAACCTTTAGGCAAAGGACATAAATTGATCTGTGGAAATGGGCTCACCCTCCCACCCTCCAAAGAATATACTCAAACTCTATTGTCTCAATAATAGAAGATGCAGGAAACTGAATTTGTCCTGGCAAAGAATATCATCAAATCCGTGCTATCAAAAGAAGTTTATTATATTATTCCAAATACTTCCAGGTGCCTTAAAACCCAGGAAGACTTTGTTCTATGTTAGATCTAGAGAATACATTCACTGTCTGCTAGGAAATAATTAACAATTGTGTTGCTGGGGTGGTCATATTTCTTCTAGACACTACAGAGGGGACAACTAGCTACATGCACACTTCTCAGACAGGAGAGTTTCAGTTTCATAATATTGTAACATTGCTGCCAATACTGTTCTGGCCTGGCATCCGCATTGCTTGTTATGAAGTACTTAGTGATAGCAACTTACCTGCACAAGATGTCAAATGAATATGTTGTAGTATTTGAATAATCCGTCAATCTCGAAGGGATACGAGGTTCAACCCAGCCACTGTTGGGATGCTGGTGTCACTGTGCTTCAAAGTAAATTGTCTGACCTCCCAGATAGTCACCAGAAGACACGTGGGAGTATACAGGAGCTGTGATTGGAGTCTGGGAGCTTTGACTTAATTTGTCCTTTCTTCCCAAACACAGTATGAGAAAAAGCGTTTATCTTTGTCACCAGCAGGCATTGGCAAGAATCATGTTACAAAGTTTGAGTGGCTTGATGGTCACAGATGTATTGGCAGTGTCCATGGCATGTCTGTATGTGAGGCAGCCTTACTTTATCATGGTTATTGGTAATCTCAAGCTACATGGTCAAATTACATCAAGGAGGTGGATTGATATATGAGCCTTTCTGATTTGGTTGCAGTTCAGGGACAATAGTCAGTTAGGTTTTGAATTCCAGATTCTTTAAACTCGAACTGTACAAACAGCAACTGAATCGTTATTCAGTTGAGGAGCTCACTCAGAGGGTCCATCGTACTTGGAGCACTCGGTCTCTCCAAGTGTAAAGTCTTCTCATAAATATCCTGGAGATCCGGGTATTTTTAGATTCACCAAGGACCTTCAGAGGCTTAGTACAATACTCTGAAAAGTTGGTGGCCTGATCAAACTATGCAATCAGGTTACCATGTTTCCAGTGAATAAAGGAGAATATCACACTATATATCCCGAAGCCTTTCCACTGTGCGTGTGAGCTCTGTCCCACAAGGCATTCCTGGTGGCCCCTTTCCTGCCAAGGAAGGAAAGTGTAAATGCAGATGAAGCAGCCAGGAATGGGCCTGAGTGAATGGTCCCTTAACTGGGGATTAATAGTGTATTAAATCTTTTATCACATGTAATTGACCTGAACAAACAGCTACTAGTATCTACTCAAGGCATCAGGAAAAGACCACCTCTTGCATACACTGGAGATGCCATCTTCATATTGTTGCCGGCCCAGAGGTCCCCGAGGGAGCAACAGGGTTCGTTGCCCAGTGTGCGTCGCACCAATAGACACACCAGGGTGGAGAAGCAAACCAAGTTTATTCAAGAGCTCTGAATAGGCACTAGGAGACCAGCATGTCTCAAGTCAAGCGCAGCAAATACAAGCAAGTGTCCCATTTTATATTCCAAGCTGTTTCTGTGTAAGCCTTTGTTCTGGTTTCTCCCTCCTACCCCTCCCATCCCGAGCAGTTACAGCAGGCACACATTGTGGCTTGTTAGAAAAGTTCCCGTTTGCATGTTTATCTTCGACCTTGCAAGCTCTACATAGTTGGCCTTCCCCCCCCCCCTTGTTATCACTACTGCTTCTGTTAGTGCGAGCGAAACTGCAGCTGTCTGCTAAAAAGCTAACCTTTACATATTCTGCTTCAGCATTAGGCTGCTAGCATGGAGGCTGGTTAAAGTTCACAAGATGGAGTTACTGTGGCTCACTTAGACCCAGAGCAGGGGAGTTTCATCGGCACTTATGGCCTTCCACTTCCCCGAGTTACCTGGTAGCTATGCCTAGTGGCACCAACAATATGGAAGTAAAACTGCCTATGCCTTCCCATCAATATCTCCAGCAACAGCAGTTCCTAACCAGTCTTGGGAGAGACAAAAGTTGATCTTATTAACCCCATGTTTGCCAAGGCAGATATAGTTCTCAATCTTGTTAGAGATGGCAATAAGGAAACTCATCATCTTTGGGAGCTGGCTGAAATTGGTGACTCAGAACAGGGCACTCTGCTCAATAGCAGAGCTGACAATTTCTCTCCCCATCCACATGGCCCTGGAGGAGGATAATGATCCAGATAAATAGCCCTTTGGGCAGGTGTTTCAGAGCCATCTGGCTTCTTGAAAGGATCCTAAAGAAGAAGATTAAAAGTTGAAAAGGTTAGCATTCCAGTGTGTAAAGGCCCCTGTGGAAACTCTTGAACAATCTCTTCATTTGTCTGAGTAGAAGACAAATTTCTTCATTGTTCATTTGATAACTGTTTTTGGCTGCAATGAACATGTCAAAGTTAGACCAGTTTTTCTGTTGGGTTTGTACAGGACGTGAGACACTTAAATGACCCTGCTGCAGTGGGTGGTTAATGAAGTCCTAATCAGACGGATTTGGAGCCACTTGATACCTGTTGGCTCAGGTTTATTATGTGGAAGGTTAACTTCCAGATGTGTGACTTCATTTTATGGTATGAGACTTCGGTGACACATATCTTATATTCTGCGAAGAATAGCCATCCATACAGATGTGTCCTAAATCCTTTGCATAGCTGGTGATTGCAGTTCACTTCAATGAACCTGTTGTCCTTGCAGATATTTATCTTATGCCTGCATGCTCATCCCAGCAAGTTACTATTCCACAATCTGGATGTGAAAAGGTCCCTAGGCTTTATCTGGAGCAAACAGAAGGCCTTAAAATGCCACCCAGCTTTTTGTTTCATTTGACAATGCATTAGATTCTAACGTTACCAAGCATATCATTTCAAAGTCTATCTGATTTCATTTTTCATTGTTACTGTCTGGGAGGGCTGCTGCTTGAAAATCATGTCAAGGCTCATTCCATTCTGGGCAAGTCAGCTTTACCTAGTAGACTCGGAATTAAGTAGCCACACAGGCTTACACGCACTTCCCAAGTGTTTTCTTAGAATCTAGGCAAGAATCCAGGGTTAAATTATCAGTGTTGGAGCCCACTCCCCAAGCTCCATATCCGTCTGGAGTTCTGTTCACTATGTCCTTCTTCTATTGAAATGAATCCATCTTTTGTACTTTCTAGATGATACTGTAATCTTACCATTGCTGCTTATGTTATAATTTAGTCCTCAAAAATTTAAAGAAAAATTTCACTACTTTCATACTTCAAGGCATTTCATTGTTTTTTTTGCTGATTACAGATTATTTTAGGTTTTGTTCTGTTTTATTTTAAAATCCTCCTTTGTGACTTTGTCTGCAAGAGTGAAAATCCAATGGGATTTGTTATCTTTGAAGAAAAGAAATTACCCATAGTTCTTGTTGTCTGAAGAGGCATATCCCCATGGATTAGCACTCACTCAGCTCCATTTAGAAACGCCTCTGCTTAGTTGGGTGGTTTCTGTAACATTTTGCTATATATAAATTTTACATTTCAATTTTTTTTGGCGGGATTGCTGTTCATTTTTGAAAGAATTGACTTTAGTATGCAAGGCGCAGTGTAGGAACGTGAGTGGGGTGAGCATAAAATGCATCTCTGGAGGTCTCTAAACTTAACTTGAAATCTGTACCTGCTCTCTGGCTGAAAGCAAGACCTAAGAATGTTTCTGCATATAACCAGGCGTGAATGTGGCTCCAAGTGTCTACCAAACTTGAAGTAGGAAAATTAAGCTTTTATTTTTAATAGGTCTTGAAAAATGTATTGCTTTATAGTATACCGAAACAAATTTTTAACCCAATTTGTCACATTGTGGAAGATAAAAATGTATCTACCTTAGCAGCAGAAACATCTGATTTTTCTCTGATGTAAATGGAAATGGCATTTTTAAAAAAAAAGTTTAACAGTGCTATCAAGTGCTCCTAGGATAGGTATCACTAATTTTGTAAGCCAAGACACCATTCTTCCATTTGAGGATTAAGTAGATAATGCTGTGAATTGCAGGTTGCTTGAAAGCAGCATAACACTGTTAAAACTAACTTTAATCATTGCAGACCAGTAATGGAGGAGGGAGCTTAAGTGATTATTCCTCCTCTGTTCCATCAACTCCAAGCACCAGTCAGAAGGAGCTACGGATTGATGTTCCTCCCACTGCCAACACTCCAACACCCGTTCGTAAACAGTCCAAGCGCCGCTCCAACCTCTTCACGGTGAGTGAGCCAGAGAAGAAAATGTTGCTGTTTAAGGTTGACTACTGACTAAACTTAGATCCTGCTAAGCCAAGCTAGTCTAGTCTAAATAGAAGTGCCAGGAAGATTCCACTAGTTTCAAGGCAAAAATCTGAAGATTTTTGAGGTTTTCCTTTATGTTGGAAAACTCATTTAGACACGATGAAGTTTCCTAACATGGTCCAGGTATTTCACTGTTATGAAACTGATCATTTACTAGTGGAACAGCTTCTGTTCAGGATATTCTGAAGTTTCTGCAATATGTTATAAAGCCCCAGCAGGTTAAACATTCCATATCATAGATACATGACTCGTTCCCAGGCCTCTCTGTTCAAGCCTAAATTCTCCAGTTTTGTCACCTTCTGAGTTAGTAATGAGAAATCTGGACCTCTGGTCCAAACCAACTGATCAGGAAAAAAACTACTGATTTCAATTGTGGAAGCATTCAGTATATATTGAGAGAAAATTCTCAGCTGGGGTCTCTGCAAGGTGAATTATACATAGTACCAGAAAACTAAACTGTTCCATACTGGCTTAAAAATACAATATCTCAATTCATGTTTCTTCATCACATTCTTTTAGTTCTGGGAGAGATCCTAATTATGTGTATTTTCTTCTGAAGCATCTGACATTGGCCACTGTAGGAGACAGGAAAGTGGAGTAGGTGGAACATTAATCAGATCTAGTATGGCAGTTCTTATGTTCCTGCATAAATATTTAGGGAAATGTAAATAATTAAAGAATTTTAATGTGTTTAGTATTGTGGTTGTGTTAAGAGTATTCCATTGTGGTTTTGTACTTAGCTTTAAAACTCTCTTCGGACAGGGTTATAACAGAGTTGACTTGTGTCCACACACAGATTCTTTTCTCATCACAGCCATCTGTCGGTCAAGTTCATACACCCACACCTACCTCACTGTGTTTGTGTCTGTGCCTTCTGGGAAAAAGTCCCATACTGCCTCATCAAGGGACACAGTACCTGAGGAACATACACAGAGCACCACTAGTTGTGTGTAGGGAGGTGAACCCTGGCTGGGAGGAAGAAGGGACCAGACTGGTTGCGCATACAGCTAGGGGGGTCTTTAGAAAAACAGTGTGCTGAATTATTTATAAGAAGACACATGTGCCAGCCTAGACCTTTGGTGAGTGCAAAACACTGTTATCTACCATGGTTACTGAGTATAAACCATACTGGACACAAATCCTGTTTAGTACCAACCTGTTACACAATCCGTTTAAAGTTGTTATATAGACAAGCCCTAGAACATCATACAAGTAGTTAAAATTGTAATGGATTAATATCTAGATATTACAAAAGCATTTTAAAAAATAACGGTATCTGAAAGCTTGTCAGCAATTGTGTTCTGACCTTTTATAAAGTGGTCTGTTTTGAGTTTTAAATTTAGATCTTGTGAATTATTAAACTCCACTAGATGTCAGTGTCATCCTAGGAACTGAATGCAGGATAATAAATTTGAAAGTACTCACAACTGAAAACTGTTACAGCTCCATTTAGAAAAGCCTGCCAGCTTGCTCTTGTTCTAAATATGAATAGAATACAGTGAGGATGGTTATATGTGTGGTGATCTAGAAAACCAAGGATGGCCTAAAGCTGGAATAGGCAGAAGAGATGCATAAATGGTTTTTTATGCCTTTCCTATCTTCAAGGAGAGAGTTATAAAAGAACATGTAAAGTAGCCTCTGTCTGCCATAAGCCAACTGACTAAAAATCTATTTGCCAAAAAACCAGTATTTTAAAGTTTTAAATGTTTTATAGGGAAAAATATATATATTCTGTAATCATAATAAACAAAACCTTTAGTTTTCATTGATAAACCCCTGTATTAACTATTACACTATTGATATTGAATAATACTTAACATTTGTTTAATTATTGGCTCTGCATAAACCTTTATTTTGGAGGGGAAACCTCTTATAATCCTGAAAGTTCATTGCTGTCCAGTAATAGGTAATTGGCATAAAAGTTTGTATAAATATCTTAGTTTTAGACACCTTTTAAAGCGATCTACTTGTGTGACACATGGAAGGTAATTTAATTATGTAGTACTACATGCTACAGTGTTTTACAATAACTTTGTGTAAAACCACGGATGCCTTGGAAATAATGCCAACTATCTAGCCACTTGGAATAATATTATTGAGTGAATAGATGGCAAATACTTTTCCGTTAGTACTGTGGTGAGGAACAAGGATTCAGTTCTTACTGCAGTTTTGTAACATAAGAAACATAAGAAAATTCTGGTTTTTTTTTTTTTGGTGGGGGGCAAGGGTTTAATTGGATGGATCTTAGTCATTTCAATTTTACTAAACTTGACACTGGTTGTCAGCCAGGATATGTTCTCCCCCTCCCCCCACATATAGTTTTCAGTTAACATTGGTGGGGAACCCTTCTACCAAATGGTTTTAAATGATAAATGGATCATGTGACCTCATGCCTATTTATGTGTTTAGAGTGAGGATGGGTTTGAAGAATTTAAAAAATAGTCCTTACAGTATTGTATATGCAGCAACTGGTCTTCTCACATCTTCACTATACATCAACTTTCTATATCAGTTGTTGCAGTGTTTATTTTTTCCGTCGGCAGCATAACAGATCAATAAATGCAGCATTTCTGCAAGTGTCTTGTACTTTGTATTTACTATTAGTGGATGAAATTCATCAGTTTGTAGATCTCATATTAGGATTTAAGATATGCATAGGTTTTCTGCCTAGGGTGTACTTCAACCTATATGACAAATTCTATCCAAAGCCAGGTTTTGGATAGTAATAGTAACTATTTCTCTGATTACAGACCTGATTTGAATGAGACTCCAGCCAATGGGATGTCAGTAGAAGCATCTGATTTCTCGTATGAACTTAACTATCAGTTATATCATTATTATATAATGTTACTGCACAATTTTAAGAGTGACTTTATAGTGATTCTAAATTAAAATTGATACCTCTGCATCACTGAAGTGGCACTTAAAGATTAGTACATGTAACCCATTGTGCTACCTAGACCCCTTTCTCCATATATTCTGGTAAGACCCAGACTTCCCAATCAGGGTTGGATCTGCATTGTAGAAGGTGCTGTACACATGCATAATAAAACACTTCCTGCACCAAAGAGAGAATATTCTGAATAACTGATTGTGATAGGATATTAAGTTTAGATATTCGGGTTCTACTGTAGTTCTGTCCAGGCTGTGTCTGATCCAAAGTACCAATGGACCACATAGAATGCCAGTGCAAGGTGGTGTTTGGTCCATCATTTATGTGGTGTTATATTTTTATACTTCCTTAATGAAATTTTAGTAGAACTACTGAGGAAAGTGTGTGAACTATTAAACAGAGAGAATTCATTATGAATGCTGCCACTGCATTGTCAACTTCTGTTTCTGTATACTGCAGCATATAAGACGCATCACTGTTTAGGGATCTCGGTACCGCATTGGCACAATTTGATGAGTTAAAGAACCTTTTCCAAATTGCAATCTGCATTTGTCTGAAAATGGTGTGTTTACCATAGTTAAAAATAATAGCTACATTTATTATAACTAGCTAATAGACTAGCAAAAAAAATCTATTATGTTTACTTTGTGCATTTGACAGCACCTAGTGTACAGTCACTTTCACTGCTTCCCCTTTATATTCAATTAATTACTCCCTTGCGGAAAAGGCCCTTATAAAGATGTATAGGGGAGCAGAAAAACCATTGTATTTACAGATTATTTTTTTTAAATCAGGACATAGTACTTAAAGTGTGCTCCATTAGAAACTGTTTTTCTTTTTTAAATCAGATAGATTTAAAATATATCAAGTTAATAATGTCCCTTTTAAAGGATGGACTGGCTAGCTTCCTGAAATCTATTTTAGGGAAGAGAAGCAATGGTTAGTTATCCTGGAAATTGGATCTCATCCGTCCCACTTGTTTTGCTTTCTCTCAATTATTCTTTATTTAATTCCCTGGCATGTCTTTCACAACCTTGAACCACAGTAACTAGTGATAGGAGCCTACTCGCACAGAGTCAGGAAAAGCACAGGTCCCCTGCTAGGTTCATGTGCTTAGTAGAATGCTGTTACTTGGAATCTGCTTTCTCTCTTTCCCCCTCAAGGCAAGTGCGTTGGGTGATCTTCCTTCCTTGTATCCCTTCACCGGCTGGCTAACCTAATATGGAAAATGAGTGTAATTCTATACATGATTCTAATCTACGCCCCTATTTTCAGTATCTGTTCTGACATCTCTTTTTAACTGTATTGAAAATCCAAAGCAGCATCTTGCATCACTCTAGTTTTCATTAGCTCTCCATTGTGGCGCTGGACACCACAAGTGTATTCATTTCATATATCCTTGGCGATTTGAAACCCACATGAAAATGTTTCCCCATTTTCAATTTTATGTGAGTAATGTTCCCATTGGAAAGTAATGGAGTGAAGTTGTCACTTGTCAGCACAGTTATTAAGGAGGATGACTCTCAGATCCTTCTCTCAGAATAAAATAAATCTGTCAGAAAATCATTGTGCTTGAGCATCTCACACTGTAAAGAACAAGGATCTAGGGTACTTTTTCAATTTCAGTGTGTTTACTTAATGGCCAGACAAAATTACACTGCAAATCCCCAGCCCCTAAAACAATTCTTGAATAGGTGGAGCTCATATTTCATTTACAGAACATAATAATAAAACAATTTACAGACTTGTTTTTAAACTCCTCTCTCTCTCTCTCTCTCTCCACATTCCAGATTTTGCTTCTCAGTACTCTTATGCTTTGCCAAAACAGAATGGATTTTTCCAGCATCGGCCGCTAGGTTGATTTTGATGTTACTATTTTCTAACCATTCAAAAGAAATAGGGGAAAAAATGAAACTTGATATAATCAAGAGTGCATCATAAAACCACACAGCTGAGTAGTTAATAGCATTTTGAACCATTCAGACATTACTTAAATATCTACATTTATGTAGTAGGGTTTCTTAGTAGGAAGCTAGAACCCTCTTTCTTCCTTGAAGCTATTAGAGGCGGTTTCTGAAATGTGTTCTCCTGGTAGGCATTATTTTCCTATCTGACCTCTTGGTTTCCAGTAATGGAAATATGAGCACTTCAAAACTTAACAACTTTTCAAATGTGGGTGGAGGAGGAAAGTATTGGGAAGATACCTTAGGGGGAAAATAAACAAGATGATGTGATTGTCGCACCATTTTAAGATCTTTCTTTTATTTCAAAATAGACATTCAAAACAATGGTTTCAACAGGTCATCCCCTCTGTGTCAACTGAAATGTTTAACAGAGTGTGAACTTTCATTTTGCTCTGCAGTCTCGGAAAGGGAGTGATCCAGACAAAGAGAAGAAAGTCCTGGAGAGCAGAACAGATAGCATTGGAAGTGGCCGTGCAATCCCAATTAAACAGGTATGCTGCTTTTTTGCTTTCCTATAGTTAGAGACACACCTCGGGTCTTAAACACCATGATGCTGGGCCTGTGTGCCAAGATTTGTTTGATGTGCTCTGGTGATGAATGTGGAAGTCACTCACTTGACATCAATTAGGAGAGGTTCCTGTGTGTATTAAAATAGGATCATTAGAATAAGAAGAGGGAAAATGTGACAACAGGCCTAATGAAGTGCAGTCTGCCGGCCTGCATATGGAGCATGTTTCTAGGCTGAGCTGGCTTCAAAGCCTGCCTTTGTAGCGAATGCTTTGATTGGGCCGTTTGCTGCCAGTCGACAGGGGTAAATCAGATCGCTGTACAAGAGCCCCTTGTGATAGCAGAAATAGCCTGATGTGGCCCTAATTTGCTGTTGCAGACGGACATCTGAACACTGTTTCAGGCTGGTTTGTAACAACGAGGCAATTAGTTGTGATAATCATAGCCGGTGTGTCAGCTGTGTGCTCTTGTTTGTAATTTGCTAATGAAGGAATTGTAACTTTGATTAGGTTCAGTTTCATTTAGACCTTATTATATAAGAGAACATTTACAGCTGTAATCTGTGGCCTTAATTAAACTTCCTCATTACACAACAGGACTTGAATTCAAGGATTTGTTTTGGCCTGTTTTTACTAGCCTAGATGCACTTTCATTAGCCCAGAAACTGGATGCTCAATTGGTACCGTGTGCACTGCTTCATAAGGGAAAGCTAATATTGGAATCTGCAGTGCAGAATGGAATAATTGACTTGTTCAATATAATTTAATCTGAAAGCCTGCAGCTGCGAGAGCTGAGCATTTTGAGCATTTGTGTGGGATAGTTTACAAACAGGGTTGTTAGCACTGCTTGCAAGTTCTTTTCAAGTGTGGGTTGCCATTATGTTAGTAGAAAAGGTGCCAAGTGAAAGACAAGAAGAGATTCTTCCCTTCCTTCACAGCTGCCACAAATTCTTCTTTTGTTGCTTTCTATAGGTCAGTTTTCCCCTTCCCTGCTTGGGCATGGACTCCTGTCCTCCCGGCGTCATCTTACTGACAAGCCTACCTTCTCCCGTTTTGCTTTTGAGTTCTACTTGTAGGTGGCATTTTCTTTTCTAAAAAGCAGTTTAAAATGTTTTTGTGGCACCTCAGGTAGTGAAATTGTGTGCTATTATCACTATAGATTTTTAGTAGACAAATGTAATCAAGCACGTTGCTATTGTGTGATTCCAGCACACATACACTCTACATTTGGCACTGCAAGTAGAGGAGGAGATTCCAGAACTGGAGGGGGAATGGAGTAAGAGAGAGAGCTTTTTCTACCACCCCTTCTCCCCCCTTCCCCCCCCGAAAAACATTTCTAGCACTTGTCATGGTATTAGCTGTGGTAGGCTCAGTAATATTTTTGAGTAGATAGTTTTTTTTAAATTTCAGCACTATGTAGTGAAATGGGGCTGCTACTCTTAATGCAAGAGCAGAAATGGGGGAACCGAGAAATATTGTTGATGCACATTTATTCAGAATTGCAGGTGCCATTCTTTCTAGAGCTCAGTTACACTGAGGAGAGGGTCAGAAGAATCTGAGCTGAAATGGACTCTTCTTAGGGTAATGCATATACAGAGCAAAAACATCTCTTGCAGGGATGTAATAAAATATCCACTGCATACAACTTTTTCGCAGAACTCTTACCTCTTGGTTTGAAGACTCCAGTGGCTGATAATTATCCCACTGGGTGTTGAGAGGGGTGTCACTCCCCCCCACCCCCCGTCTTTGGGGAATGGATTTTCATTTATTAACCCTATTCATCATATATTTAAGTGTAAGCAACCAACTGTCCAGTGGGTCATTAGTCAAAAGACTTTTCCTGTTCACCCTAGGATTGGGGGAGCAAGGCGAAGTAAGATTGCACTGCTCTATCACAGCACTTACCATCAATGAGTTTCAGTTCTGCAAACTCTCAGTAGGAGATTGAATTTGCAGAGGATTTGGCACGTGGCTTTTTTCCATTTTTTAGATAGTAATCTACACTTAGGATCAGTAGGCCCATCAGAGGTTGCTATGGCCTGGTCTATACCTAAAACATAAATTGCCCGAGCTATATTGCTCAGGGCTGTGAAAAATCTCATGCGCTGTGCGACACAGGTCAACCTAACCTCGACTGTAGATGTAGCTATGTCGATGGAAGAATTCTTCCATCAGTCTAGCTACCGCCTCTTGAGGGGGTGGATTTACTACAGTGATGGAAAAACCCCTTCCGTCACTGTAGTGTCTATTGTACAGTGGTGTAGCTATGATGCTGCAACTCTGCTGCTGTAGTACTTGTAGTGTAGACATAGCCTGAGTTACATAAATTAGGAAGCATTGGGAAAAAAAAATTGGTACTTTAGCCAAACAAGGGCACTTCATCAGTGTATGTATGAAAGCAGCTCACTTACCTATGCTACCCAGTGGAGATTGACATTTACAGACTAGTGAGTGTTGGGAGGACCTTTGGCACCACTGACCCTCACCTTGTTCAGGGCATTAGTTGAATACTAAGTCCTTGTGTAGGTCTTTACTATAATTCTTTAGTTTTATCTAAAAAAGATAGCGAAGGGAATCTGAACCCTCTATTCCTTTTCTATTTTTGAATAGATTGTCAATTGACTGGCAGATTTTAATCTGGTTTTTTTCATTTTCCATAGGGGTTGCCTGACAACTTTCTTTCTTCAGTTATTTTCCTTCATAAGATGTAAATAATCTTTGAGTCTACTACTTAGTTTTTCATATTGGAAACATTAAGTATTGGAAACACTAGACATACAAACTGAGAATTTTTCAACAACCATTAAAATAAAGAGATATTAGTTTGAGGCTGTCAGTTTATTAAAAATGTAACACAATTTATTTAAAGCTAATTTGCTCCATATGCTTCGTTTTCAAAGCTTGTGTCAGTCATAAGTTGGAAAATATTATTCAGTGCTTGAAACCCTGAAGGTGGTGAATGATCTTGCTATTAAGTCCTCTCTAAGTCTTCTTAAAGTTATTCAGGTAACTACTCCCACATATTCATCCCCCCTCCCATACACTGAATACGGAAAAGATGCCTGAATATGGGATGTCTGTCACACTTGCCTAATTGTTTAGAGTGTCATTTTTCATCAGCACTGAATCCTTGATTACAGCTGCATCTAGGTAAATTGCTAACATGGCTATATTGTTCTGAGCCTTTACAGATTGCAAGCACTTGGAGGTAGCTCAGAAGCAGTGTTCGAAAATCTTGCCTGAGAAGTTTCACTCTTAAGTTTATTTTCTGGTTTCGCCATTGTGAAAGAGACAGGTAGAGACAACAAAGAGGGTTCTTAGATGTAAGAACTTGAGTAATACTTTGTGTTTACATTTACATGCAGTGGTTTAAAAAACAACAACACCCAATATAGCATTCGTTTATTTAAATGAAAAGGAAATGGTACGGAGGTAGAAAGAGAAATCCATTTTACTTCAGGAATGCAGTACAGATTGCAATATTCATAACCTCTCTGTTGCAAGAATATCATCTTGTATTAAAAAAATTCTATTTCATCCCCATATTTTCCTGTATTTATCCTCCTATTAGCCCAATTGTGACCTTGCAACACTGCCTCATACTAGAGGTTATTATCCATCGGTGACTCCAGCTATGTTAAAGGTCCTGTGACTGCAGGACCGTTCCTTAAACTGCTCTTGTGAGTAATGGCTTTGCCAGTTTTACGTGTGCACACGCAGTCTTCCATTATGCCATTGGGCCTTCTTTAAAAGCCTATAGTCGTTATGCTTTTTTTCAGATCTGTTGTCAATGCTATTTTTTGACACTGTGTTGGTTCTTATATGGCAATCATCACTGTAATAATGTGCAGATGTGCTAGCAAGCCAGTGCTTTAGGAGCAAGGTAGAAAATAGCCTTTTCTCCAGGAGTTTAATCTCGTCATCACTGTCGAGAAGGGAGAGAATTTCATGGTGGTGTTTGTGCAGTAGTACTTGCTTGCAAATAAAAAATAAAAAAACTTTGCTATAGAATTATGGTTGAAATTATGTTACAGTGGATTCTGACTCCCCCGTCTCCCCAACCCCCGGCAAAAGATTGCATTCTACACCATGTAAAAAAAGTTCAAATGTTGAAGGAAAGGGTTAATGGATCCACCTTGTTCCCCCAGATGGTCCTTCATCACATCTGAATTATATAGTTACCCAGCCTTGGTGTTCTGCGCCTAAAATATAGGAGGGAAATACACAAATTTCTAGGAGATTAGAAATGGATCCCATGAGTAAGAAATAGGATTTTATCCTCTCTGGTTTTAGAGGGCAACGTTAAGGTTGGGTGGACAGTGTTAATCAGGTGTGTGAATCAGTGAGTGAAGGATTCCGTGTCAGGGAGGAACTGACAGGATCTGTTCATGTTCAGATGTTCTAACCTTTTTAAGGTCTAGATTTTTTTTTCCCTAGAAAATGTAATCTCGTTTTGGATGTTAGACTGCAGGGAAACCCACCCTCAACCTTGATTCTTCTCTAAGGCCAGGTCTACACCGGGAACGCTTTGCTGGTGTAGCTATGCTCATATGCTGTATAGGTAAAACACTCCAATGGGGGACAGTATATACCAGCAAAACTGTGCTTTTGCTGCCAAAGCTTATTCCACCACTTCACTGGCAAAACAAACTGGTATAATTGCATGTATACAAAGCTTTTTGCTGGCACAGCAATGTCAGTCAAACCACATCCCTGACCTACATAGTTATGCTGACAAACATATGTAGTGTAGATCTGGCTTAAGCTTTTTGTGGGTTTCTCAGTCCTTTAAATGAGCAACATATTTACATCTGGTTGGGTACGAGGTCCACAGGAGTGACGTCTTGCTCTGACCAATCTTCTGAATAAGGAGGGGGAAATATAAGGAGAGGGAAAACCCTGAATGTTGCAGTTTGCCACTTAAGGTGCATTATGTTGTGCAGATCATATCTCCACTCCAGTCTAATGTGCAGAGATTGAGAATC